TTTTTTTTTTTTATTTCAGCCAGCAATACTTGTAAATCAGACCATATTGAAGCAGATGCTCGACATTTTTGTTACATAAATAGAACAAATTATAAATTATAAGCTGTTGCTAACTAACAATACATTATTGCCCGCAATGACCCCCCCCCCCTTTCCCCCCCAAATTAAAAAGTGGGATATGTATTACTGCAATTATGATTTAAAACTTTTTTTTTTATAAAACTTTCACCAACTTACCCATTGCATACTAAGACAGCCTCATAAATTTGGGTTACTTCCTCTGCTTGATTCAGAACATTGCATGTCGTCACTGCCCATTTAAATTTGAATTGACTGGTTTCATCCACAACAGGTTCAATCCACTTCACAATGGTCAGAAACTGGATCACAAATATTTGGCTTTATTAACTAAAGAATAAAATTTATCAAAGATTTAAGAAGACTAACACAAATCTTGGTACTGTATTAATAATTAATTTTAATGCTAATTTTCTGTCATTTTTTGTCAAGAGATAAAACACTTAACAGAAATAAAGAAAAAAACATTCATTACTATAGAGTTGAAAGTTATGCATGAGCATAGAGTGCTATTGGTCTTTTCAAGATATCAGGGAAATACAACTACATGTTAAAAATGTTCAAATTGACAGGTAAAATCATATTTTTTATTAATTACAGTATTTAAGTAAGTTCATGGGAAGTAGCAGACTGCGCCTCTAAGCATGCATGTCTCACTGCTATCAATTCTTAAAAAATATATTCATAGATATTTATTTTTGTATTTACTTTATTTTTTGTGCATTTAATTACAATTGCTTGCACATACAGTGTTGAAATCATGATAGCTCAAATATTATGTTTCTAAAAAAACCTTTATATATTGTGACAAATTGAAATGAGCTGTATAGTCTTCCAAATACTTTTGTACATCTTTGTGTCTGACAAATGAGGGTAAGTCTTCTGGGAATGGATAATCTGGAAATGCCATACACTCAACGGGAAGATTGGTTCTGAAATTAAAAATTTATAAAGTCTCATTCTGAATATTACTAAAGAAAGTGATGCTATTTTAACATCATTTCAAACTTATTCATTAAAAATGTTTGAACATTTCCACAACAGACTTCTGGCTGATGGATATCTAGAATTAAACAGTTCTACCCACCCCACCCTATAAAGCAGCATTTGACCTGTGTGCCAAAATTTAGTACACTTATATTCCAAGTAGTTCAGTACACAATGGACAATCTATCATTGAAAATGGGCCACTAAACTTGTCATCTTGCTGGCTGTTTGATAGAGGTTTTAGTTGCACATGTCAAATTATGTAGTATCTGGTCAAATGCCTTTCCATCTCTCACATGCATCAGTCTCTTTGAACAAGAGAAAAACTTTTCTGCATATTCCATAATATCGTCCATCACCAATATTTTCACTTTTTTTTAAATTCCATTATGAAAAAGTGATTGATTAGTGCAGTTTTTCTTAACCTTTTTTGTGGCATGCTCCATCAAAGCCTTTCTAAAATTTGTATGCCCCCCCCCCCCATATGTATCATATACATAATTTTTAATATTCAAAAATAGGATTGTTCACTGAAGACACTTTAATGATAGGAAGAAATCACAGAGAAATTAGTGGGAAACAGTAAGTAAATTTTCAAAACCTTTAATGGAGCACTGAAATTCAAGAACGAAACAATTTTAATGAAAGATTGTTTCTACTTATTTTAATTATTAGTAATTATTTATTATTTAAATTTAGTGAAATGTTTGTGCTTGATGCTTGCTGCAAAAATGTTATGTAATGTTAGGTTCCAATTTAGTTAGCTTCAGTCTCAAGTCTCCCCCATTGTGTTATATCCAGCCAATTACTACTGTTTTTGTTTTTTTTTGCAACAAATTATTTATGGCACTAAATCCACATTCAGCTAAATATGGAAACGGTAACAATAGTTTTCTTGCGCATTTGGTTGAGTTTGGATATTTGATTTCTGTTTCTTCACAAAACCATGCCATCGCTCCTTTTATATTTAATTAAGTTTTAACTGACTCATCATTTTGCAATGTATTTCTCCAAGTTCTTCTTGATACTGAATATTTGAAATATCAGATAAATCCACTAAAATTGGCTGCATCATACAAGTTGGAAAATTAATTTGTTTCACATCAGAAAATCTTTCTTTTAAATCAGCCGATAGAATTTTCAGATGATCCACAATAACAAGTATAGCAGTATCAGTCACTTCACATTTTTGGTGCCAATGAAGCATCAACAGTTTTGTTGTAAATATTTTTTCTGGCATAATTCAATAAAGGTAATGAAACCAAATATTTTTGCTTTTGCATCGACAAGAGTTTTATTTGTTCCTTGAAGTTGGTTATTTAATATATTTAGTTTTTCAAAGATATTGGCTGAATAACTCACAAATGCTTTACCATCGACCGTTGACAGATACTTCAAATCAGGTTTGTCACTTTAAAAAATCGCATGACTATCAAATAGTTCCATAAATCTTTTCAAGCAATTCCCTTTCGAAAGCCATCTTCAGTATGAGGTAAAAGTCTCACTTAGTCTGCATTTTGTTCTTAACAAAAAAAAGAGACGTCCACATTGGGCATTAGCTTTAATAGCATTGATACACTTTATAACTGAATTTATCATGTAATTTAGAACAGGCGAATTTTAGTTACTTACTATTAAGTTTTCCCTATGAGTAACATAATACATTTTTCATCAATTTTTAGTAGACATTTTTCTTGCCCTTCGCGTTAGAAGCACAATCTGCCGCACAAGATGATATATTTTTCATTGGTATATTATTGACATCTAAGTAATTTTTTTGCTTATCTTTGGCGGTCATGATGCTTTCTAATGATTTATAGAACAACATTTCTTCAGCAAAATACCATTTAGTACACTTAAATTCCAAGTAGTTCAGTACACAATGGACAATCTATCATTGAAAATGGGCCACTAAACTTGGCATCTTGCTGGCTGTTTGATAGAGGTTTTAGTTGCACATGTCAAATTATGTAGTATCTGGTCAAATGCATTTCCATCTCTCACATGCATCAGTCTCATTGAACAAGAGTAAAACTCTTACGTAAGTTATCAATACAGACTCAGGGTCTCTCAAAGTTGATTCATCCATTTGCACTGAGAATTTTCTTGGTTTCAGCTTTTCAACAAGTTGTATTTCAATGTCTTCACTTATTTTGTCTATTCACCTGCTAACACTAACAGTATTGTTACTGAGTTGCATAGCTTTCACTTCTTTGTCATCTTTTTCCAGAACCGTTTTATGAAATGCTGTTGATGGTTTGATTAAATTCTCTCCTGTAGCATGATTTTTCTCAGCTTTAGCGACGAGTACAGAAATTTCATAACTAGCCTAAAGAGTATGATTGGCAGTGGCAGTAAATAGAGACTTTAATGTTGCTCTTATTTCAAAATACAAGTTAAATCATAGGAGGGTTGGTTTTCAAATTCTAGACAGCTCATTTTCCATTTTCCCCTCTAAACAATCAAATTGCCCCCTTGTGGGGCTTGGGCCCCATATTGGGAAACACCTGAATAACTAAAACCAAAGACTAATTCATTATTGAATAATTATAAAGTTTTCCCAAATGTGCATACCTTTAACTTAACAAGTTGTAAGTATAGAAATAGGCACTTTGATGTAAGTTTCAGAACATTCTTTAAAGTACTGTTGTTCGTCAGTTGGAAGTTGACCATGATGACTTTAATCATTAGATTTGTGCTACTTCTGTCTGTGGGTGCGCAGATGGCTAATGAGGCCGATTCTGGCACCAAAATACTATAACTATATAGAGCCTTGAATATGGATTACAAAAACTTGAAAATCAACTTTCTAGCTCAAGTGGTTCAAAAGTTATGAAAATTTTTAGTAAGGACCTCAAAACCACTTTTTCACTATGGGATTTTCCTCCACATTTTGTGACACTCATTTTGCTTCTGTTTTTACACCTACAATATGAGTTCTTCTAAATAAAGCCAAAAAATATAAGTTTAGTTTTTGTTAAATTCCACACAAACATTTTAAATAGTTATAAGTTTCTTTATTACAATGTATAAAATATGCTGACTCTTCACTTATTTGTATTTAATTTAGTTTAAATATATTTTTTTTTGAATTTCCCAACAATAATAATATTCTGAAGATATTAAATTATATAAGTATAAAAAAATAAATAATACAAGGATTGTTTGATTCAATTAGTTAAAATTGACAATTATACTTTTAACTTTTTTAACATTTCCGATACATGTATTTTAATCCCATATGAATATGAAAAAAAAATTAGTATGTCATTTATTTTAATTTAGTAATCTTGTTTTAAAAATCAACATGTATTGTTAGAATCAACCTTTGCCGTTGATAGAATTTAAAATAAATTCTAATCATTTGCATGAGGTAAGTACAAGTTTTGATGATTGTTCTTTATTAACATCTTAAGAAATTCTTTAATTATTGTGGCTGAGTGTGTTTTTTTCTTTGAGAATACTGAGGATTATAATAATTTTCTTGTGGAATATTGTAATATGTGATTAAATATGGGATATTTTAATATCAAAGGTAAGTGAGTATGTTTATACATTTTTTAAAAATCTATGCCTTAAGAATCATACTTAAAAATAATGTATTATTACATATAACGAATAATGGGTCCTACAAATAGTAAGTAAGTTGGGGTGGGGCTAGGCCTATATATAGACCCTAATGCCTATAAAATATATAAATGGTAATAACAATAAGGCTAATAATCAATACCTCTCAATCTCAATAAAAGCATCAAATCATGTTAAAAATATGTATTTGTGTTATTAAAGTAAAGCATTTGTTTTCATTTCTGAAGTGCCTAATTATATTGTAAAAATTGAATGACCAGGATGCGATTACATGTCCAGCTGAATGTGAATATAATTGTTACATAATTTATTTACAACAACAAACCTAAGGTTCTTGTACATGCTGGAATGTACTTGTAGACCATATTCATCTTTGCCTATGCAATTAGTGTAGTACCATGTGCCTCCCACACGAGGTGACTTTTCTAAGCACGTTACAACAAATTGAAGCTTATCACCTGAGCCTGAGGGCCCTTGCGATGTCAGTTGTCTAAGAGCACAAAGGCCAGCAGCCCCTGCCCCCACCACTGCAACTCTTATTTCGTTTGCCATTTTAGGCATTTTTAAAACCGGAAACAGGCCAATAATATAAATAAAATTATAAATAATAATTTGAAGAGTTCACATTCATATAACTTATCTCTTAAGTCTTATATATACCATATGTCATATGTCTATGTTGCTTGTGGTGTGACTACTTCCATTTCCGAAGCATACAAAATATAATCGATAACTACGCTAAATTATTATTTTTTTTTAAAATAGCGCAACTGCGTTTGGTGCATAATATTTTCTTTTCGGAAAATGAAATCGTCTCATTTTCAATTGAAGAATAAAAATAAAATCCAGCGGTAAACATTTTGTGTGTGCTAATTATTAGGCAGTGTCTACACGTCCGGCGCCGGACGTATATCTCCCGCACTATTTGTCCGGCGACCAAGTCACATGACCGCCGTAACAAAGTGGCGAGAGATATTTTGTCCATCAGCCTTGTCACGTAACCGCGAATGATTCAAAACTATTGTTAATTTTAAAAATCTATTTCTCTACCAAGTAATGTACTGAGTATCTTGCATGTAAATAATAGAAAAAAAAACTGAAGTGAAAGTGGCTTGTAAAAATTTTTGTTTAGTTTGTTATTTGAGTTTGTGTACCAGTAATCCATAAAATAACGAAGTGGCTATACGTACCCGAGTACCCATCGTTGACAATGACTATTCGCACCCGAAAGTCTTAGTAATCGAAAAAAAAACATGATCCGAACCAGAGGCTTAATAATTGACAAGTTTACCGCGCTTTCTTTTATAAAAGTGGAGGTTGGCAGCAATTTTGACACCTATGCGTCTTTTGAAGACGAATTGAATAAGAACAAATGTGTGTTCCACTAAAAGATCGTCAGAGAAGATGAAAGAAACCAATTTGTAACACCGTAAATATGAATATATAATTCACTGTTGCAAACAAGGAGTTAAACGCAAGTCAAAGTCTTCAACGACAACAGGCCAAAGAAAATCACAAGCGTAAGTAATTAGTAGGTAGTTCGGTGAGATTCGGGAAGTGCCGAAAACCGGGTATCGCGATTTCGTTGTCAAAATGGCGACCTCCACTTTTTAATTTACCGAGAGTCACGTTGTTTACGACTTTTTAACTATATATAGTCCAGCATGTTAATTCTATTTCCGCCCACAACTTTGGAGTAGGCATGTTGTGTTATGATTAGACACTTGAGTCCCCCCAAAAATTTTGGGGCTTCACTTTGAAAATTGAAGGTAAAATAATGCAATTTTTACTCATTCATATTTTTTGTGTGGAAAGGGTTCTTTCTTTGAACTTCAGGGACTTTATAAATAATGGCATTAACTACAACATATCCAAGACAAGCTAAGTTAGGCCCAGCCAGTTGGTCAAAAATTCATCAAAAAATTTTAATCACGTGTGTCCCAAAATTACCTATTATCGTTAATATTCGTTGCTATGGTAAATAACCTGATTTACTCTGGAAATCCAGCCTATTACCTCCTAATAACTCATTTAAAAATAAAAATAAAATAATTAATAAAACAAACACATATTTTTAATATGATTTGGTGCTTTTATTGAGGGATATTAGGTTAAAAAAGCCTAATTAATTACAATTAATAGTTAATGATTAGTTTTATATACTGTTATAATTATATAACATATTATGTATACTATTAACTATATATATATATACTATATATACACATATAATATATATGTAGGCATACCGATACCCGCTTGCGCATTCGTTCTGCGCATATGGGAAAAAAACGCAAAAATTGAAGTGGCCATCTTACAATAGGCATACCGATACTCCCTTGCGCATTCATTCTGCGCAGAAGGAAAAAAAACGCAAAAATTGAAGTGGCCATCTTACAATCGCTTCTACGGTAACCTCGGATTTATGCGTTTACGTCACAGATTCCTATTTGTACATTTGTTTTGTCATCGATGACGTTTAATATTTGTCTTCCGGTGACGCACATGTCTTTAGAGCAACTTGAATCAGCTCCGTTTTTTGTTGTGTCACTTTGATCATACGGTAAGCTATAAAAATGTATTAATACTCCGTTTTAGCCATTAAATAACATAAAAACCTTAAACAACAAGTTAAGCATACAAATTAGATGGGGAATAACTTTGAAATAGCCAATTTATGCTTTTCTAGTTGAATGAAATTTCCTTCACATGTCCTGACCCCACCAGCACCGGAAAAAAAAAAAATGGTGGATTTTTTTGTTTGCACCGGTACAATGAAAGGGGCTCTAGATTACTTTCAATAACATAGTTTTATTACATTAGTAATCTTTGAACATAGAAATAAATCTAATAAAATTATTAAAAATGTATTATAAAATATTACAGAAACTGATTTGATGATTAAAAATAATAAAAATTCCTTTGATTGTTGAAGCTTGCTTTTTTTCTTTTTTTTT